CCTTGCCGCGGAAGTCGTTCCGAGTCGGAGGCGCACTGGCGCGATTAGAGAGACCAGGAAGACCGGGCGGAAGTGCGGGCCCCGTGCCCTGTATTCGATATTCTGATTGGTCCGCACAGGAAATGGACTCCGACGGAGACCATTTTTGTTTTGGGTGAAACCAAACTGAATTGCGCCTGCTGCAAAGATACAGATCTTTCAGGGGAGTAATCCAGGGTTAGGTATTATTAATAATTACGACAACTTTTGTCGTTGCATCTCAGCCTCTGCTGCGGTGCTGTTTTTTATTAATTTCATTGAGCGTTTGGAAGACTGGCATCAGGAACTTTTCCTGATGATTACAAAGTGAGACAAGTTACAGCCGACTCTGAAACCACGCAGCGCGTCCAAAATTGCGTGCTGCTTGCCCAAGGAAACTGGAAGCAATGATAACTTAAGTCCGTGAAGTCAGTGCGGTCTTTAGGAATAACAGCGTGGGCTGGTGGGCTACTTTCACACTATAACTGGAAAAGATGAGACACCGACTCCAAACCAACTCCCCATACTTGGCAAGTGAGAAAGAGGAGCTGGCCAGTTCTAATGAAGCTAAGAAAAAAAGCAGCACATCGTCATAAACAACTTTTTAAAAAAAGTATTACTACATATGTATATACTGTATGGTAATAAGTGCTCAGATTCTGGTGCTCACTCATTATTCATTCATTGCCAGGCATGTACTATGTGGAGAATGACCAAATATAACTTATCTGCCAAACCAAGATACTTTTGGAGTAAAGAGGGTCTAATTATTAAGCCGGGTCAACAGGCACAAACCAAGTCATATGATCACCTTAACCATATACCAAGCACAGTATTAGGCATTTGGGATTCAGAATAATAGGATATGGTCCATGGCCTCAAGAGACTAGAGAAGAAGACTAAAAGAGAAGTCGTGTAATTAGTTAAGTGTAATCAAAATACTGTAGAGGCTAGGAGAAATATAGGTGGGGTATTTTTAAAAGGTGATTGTCAGTGCCAGAGGTATGGGAATTGCAGGAAAGGCTGCAGAAGAGAGATAGTCTTTATGGTGATTGCACACAGATGAGTAGGTTTTCTTTAAGTAGACAAGAAGATGGAGATACTTGTAGGAGCAGGAATAACATGAGCAACCCAGGAGATCTCAACCAGCATGATCCATAGGGGATCGTGGCTGCCAGGACTCAGCCTGGCCAGATGGAAGGGATACGGTGAAAAGAATATTGGGTGGACTTAAGTCAAAATTCTTTTGACTTAAGTCAAAAGAATATACGGTGAAAAGAGTGTTGTACTGGGGCTAGATCATGAAGAATCTTATATACCATACTAAGAGAATTGGATTTCTACTGTAAACAGTGAAAAAGAGTGGAAGGTTTCTAATGTGAGAAATTAAATGACCAAGGTTTTATTTTAAAAAGTCCTGCAACAGTAATATGGAGGATGGAGTTTGGAGATGGGGAGGCCAGTCAAAAGACTAGCAGGCTGGGTGCGGTGGCTCACACCTGTAATCCAAGCACGCTAGGAGGCCGAGGCAGGTGGATCACTTGAGGATCCAGACCAGCGTGGCCTCAATTATTTTGGATTTTTATCATATGTAGTCACTGGAATGTATGCTGCATGAGGGCAGAAATTTTTGCTTGTTCCATTCGCTGGTGTATCCCAAGGACCTGGTATTTAAGCATTTGGGAAATGTTGAGTGGATGCAGCCTAATACAGTGACTAAATGATCACTGTTTTTTGTAATACTACGAAAAGTAACCTGGAAACATTCTGGAGTTTATTGAAATGCTAAATAGGCGTTAATAAAATATCAAACTAAGCAAACATGAAGCAGCTGGGACCTTGGCAAAGCGTTGTATGTGAAGAGTTATCCAATCTAAGCTAAAAGTAGTGTGGTCTCTCTGGGAGGGACACAGGCTGGTTCCAGCTGGGGTAAAGGGGTAAACTATTTACAGTGACCTTGGACATACACACACACACAAACTGAGCTATTATCTGCTCCTTACCTAACCATACATGATTATAGCATTGTAAAATATTTCATCCCACCTGTGAAGCTTTCTAAAATACAAACAACTAAACATGTAAAAAATAAACCATACTCTTAAACTAGATTTTGAGCATCTTGAAGTAATGTCCAAGTGTAATTTGTTTGTGTCTCCAGTACCTCA